AGGTTTTCTGATGTTTAGAAAGTAAATTCTGACCCGGAGCGTCCACCGTGCACCCGAGAGAAACCCGTCCGCTTGGAGGCGTGCCCATCCCACGGCATCCCTGGGTCCTCCCCACCCGGGGAAGAGACAAGCACAAACCCCAAAACAGGGGAATTGGTAAAAGGGCCAAGCGACCCACCGGCTGTGGCTTCGGGGTCCACGAGCGGCCGCTCTCAGGCGGTTTGGGGCCTGTTTGCCAAACCGGGTCTTGGCGGCCTTCTCCACACGCAGGAAAACTCTCGTCAGTCAGTCAGCCATTGAGTTACTGTGGGAAACATGTCTGGCTGGTAGTTCTTTGGCAGAAAACTCATGCCGCCCAGACTTCTGTTTCTAAGGCAGAATATTTATAATACAGGCAGCACTGAAGCACGAGGCAGGGTTCCAGGGCATGTCCAGCCTAACCCGAGCATGGCAGTGCTTCCATTCAAACAAGCTGAGCTCATGCATTTAAACAATGGGGGTCCCGGAGGGGAAGAGTGTGGATTCCAGGGGCTGATGCCCTGTTCTCCGGCCTAAGGCAGAGGGTGCAGGGGTGCCCGCCCTTCCCTGGGGCTGGCTCATCCAATTCCAGGAAAGCTGTCATAACGCTGAAGCTAGAAGAAGGAATCGTACGCAAGTGACCGTGATAAGGATGCAGCCATTCCTAGAGGTTTGCATTATCTTTAAAAATCGCTGAGCGACTGCATGAGAGCGTTAAGATACAAATGATGCCCTTAGAATGCAACAGGATGTTCAAAGCAAGAGATGGTTGTGACTGTGAAAAAAGCAAAGAAAATTCAACGGAGTAAATTTGAGAATCTAATTCGCTTTATTACTCAATTCGTGAATCAGGCAGCACCCCAACTACAGCTAGAAAGGTGCTCAGAAGGGTGGTACCAAAGGGAAATTTTTTTATAGGAACAAGGATGGGGCGAGAGAGCTATTAACAAAAGGGAGGGAAGGGGAGGGGAGGGGAGGGGAGGGGAGGGGAGGGGAGGGGAGGGGAGGGGAGGGGAGGGAGGGGAGGGGAGGGGAGGGGAGGGAGGGGAGGGGAGGGGAGGGGAGGGAGGGAGGGGAGGGAGGGGAGGGGAGGGAGGGGAGGGGAGGGGAGGGGAGGGGAAAGGACTTCTCTTGGGCCCAGGCATCTTCTGTTTGGGGGAAGAGAGTTAGGGGACTTTTATCATGCAGATTGCCTCCTGCCTCCTCCCAACCTTTTTTTGGCCACTCCCCACCTAAGCATCTCTAAAATCCTAGTGCCCCCCCCCCCATATACTTCTCATTATTCAAAAAGCGAGCTCCTGTTCACGTGGAGGAAGCCTAAAAGGCCATGAGCTTGGTCTAAACAAGCTTCCAAAGAACACGGCGTCCATGAGAGAGAAAAATAAAAGAACGAAAGGACAGTTTGAAATACTGAGAAAGAAATCACAAAGAAACTGCTTAAAAAATAATAATGATATGAAGTGATAGGAAAAAAATAGCAAATTTTTGAAACACAGAGCTGAAATGCAAAAATATGTCACAATATATATTTATATACTGTATATAAGGGCCCTAGAACCTAAGAGATGCAAAAAAATCACTGTTAAGAACTCATTCTCCAATGCCCCCCCCCCCCCGTGGGGTGCGTGCCCCACTTTGGGAACCACTGCTCTAAGGGGGTGGAGGGGGCCCAGGTGACTGATTCCCTTATTAGTGCTTCAACAGAAAATTCCCCAGGGGTTGATTAAAATTACATTTCAAGGAGAGGTTGAAACTGCAGTTAGATCCAGTGTTAAATCTAGGTTTGGAATCCGGTGTTTAGCTTGAGCAATAACTGCATTTTTTGTCCTTTAACATCATACAGTTAGGATGTCCCAAGCACACTGCCCTAAACACCATGGATCAACTCAGCCAAGTTCCCCACCAGAAAATTCGACACTACAAATATCAAACCTTGAAACTGTTTACTTTAGAGGTCGGAGCAGCAATATCTCCAAAAATCGCATGCCAACATAAAGTGACTAAATCTAAGCCAGATGGGTATGTCACCACTAGGACAGCCAGAAGAAAAACAAACAAAACACCCTCTGTTGTTTACACGAAAAAAAACACACACGCATTGATTTGTTAAGCAAGGCATACAATCCTAAGCAATACAAAGTAGCAACTGCCAAAAAAAAAAAAAAAAAAAAAAATTGGTACAGATTTTTTTTTTTTACAACCTTAATTTAAAATACAGTCCCCAAGCCCAGTTTCACCTAATGGAGACATCCTATATCGTTATAATATCAAAACCAGTAATGGGCATTGGCAAGTTACTGTCAACTCTAGACTACAGGCCTGATTCAGTCCTCACTGGTCTTACATGCCCTCATTTGGCCATGTTTGTGTGTAGATAGCCCCATGCAATCTTACGCCCTGGGTAGCGGTGTAACCACCACCAGGATGTAGATACAACACTTCCACCATCACCAAGGAACTCCTTATGTTCCCCCTCTGTAGGCCCATTCACCCACCTCTCCCACGCCCTGGAGCAATCACCAATTTGTTATCCACCTCTGGCTTTGCCATTTGGAGAATGCTCCGTGAAATGGAATCACACAACATACAACCTTTGAAATAGGCTCTTTAGCCCGGCTGGTGTGCTCAGTGGTTGAGCATCAATCTATGATCTAGGAGGTTGCTGGCTTCATTCAGGTCAGGGCACAGGCCCAGGTTTCGGGCTTGATCCCCAGTGTGGGGCGTGCCGAAGGCAACTGATCGGTGATTCTCTCTCGTCACTGATGTTTCTATCTCTGTCCTTTCCTCTCGGGAATCAATAACAATATATTTTAAAAATAAAAAAGTGAAATGGGCTTTTTCCACTGAGCTTTATGCCCTTGATTCCCAGCCATTGCCAGCGGCTTCCCTTGTCATTGCCGAGTAGGACCCAGTCGTATTGATGTATGGGAATTTGTGCTCTCTACGTAGGAAACTTTCAAACCTGCACAGAATTTTTGTTTATTTTGAGCTAAACAGAATTGCCAGGAAGGAGCATCTGAACAGATTGAGGAAAACGCTCTGGAAAACTGTGGTTTTACCACTTATTGTATTCATCAGAATCAAAGGGGGAGATGTAAGGTGGTTACATGAAATTCATTGGCGATAGGTAGGGAGGTGGGAGAAAGCAAAGCAGGGAAACCTCTGGGATTGGACACAAAGTAAAAGAAACAGACACATACTTCTTTGAAATTTGTGGCTATAGGATAGTTAACATTAAACAATTTTTTAAAAATTCTGTATTAGTTAAGGTATTACAAATGTGTCCTCATCCCCCCCCCCCCATTAAACCCCCATCCTCCCCCACACACACACACTCATGCTCCCATCCCCCTGTTGTCCATGTCCATTGGTTTGGCTTATATGCACGCATACAAGTCCTTTGGGTGGTCTCTTCCCCTTGCCCCCTCTCTCCCCTACGTTCCCTCTGGGGATTAATAGTCTGATGGCTGTTTCTCTGTCTTTGGATCTGTCCCTGTTCATCAGTCTATGTTTTTCTCTATAATCCACTAATGAGTGAGATCATGTGGTATTTATCTTTCTCTGACTGGCTTATTTCACTTAGCATAATGCTCTCCAGTTCCATCCACACTGTTGCAAAAGGCAAGAGTTCCTTCTTTTTTACCACAGCGTAGAATTCCATTGTGTAGATGGACCACATTAAATTTAATGTTAACATTAAACAATTAACACCATAAAATAACGATAACGGGATTTGTGGTTCCTGCCCTGGGGGGATTGTCCTGGCATTCCAAAGGTGGGTTATCCTAGATGCAAAATGACAATAGATTCAGTTCAGGTAAAAACTGACTTTTGTCAGGGAAGGTACCAGCTGGGGCCCTGAGGACCCGCCACAAATCGCTTTTAATTAGAAAGTTTTCATGTCAGCTCGCCCTACGTGGATACTTTCCACCTCTGCAGGCCTCCCCACTTCCCGGCAGCCCCCCCTTCCCTGCAGGCCTCCCCTTCCCTGCAGGCCTCCCACCTTCCCTGAGATTGTCGGGTGTAGCCTGTGGCCCCTTTTTCCTTTTCTGTTTTCCACCCTGTAATAAACATTCGTCCATGGAAAGCTAACAGTACACAGCTGTTCCCACTTTAGGACTACTACTAATGAAGCTTTTCTAAACTTTAACAAGTACAGGGGTTGTTTCTTCCCCCTAACCACACTGCAACCCATTTGGGTTTAAGTTTGTATTTCCTGCCTTCCACCTTAAAATTACGATTCTTACAGGGGGTGTTCCTGTCGCTATGGTAACTGGTAGCCTAGTAACCCTTTCCACATTCACGTAAAAGCACAGGGGTTGCCATGGCGCTTGGAAGTTAGCGTCAAGGCAGAAACATGGGGCGGGGCAGCCCGATGATCCTGAACCTGAATCCTGGGTTCTGCGGCTGAGGACCGGCTCCAGCAACGTGCGGCTGTTGTTAAACTGCAGGGAATGCCAAGTTCTGGCTGCTGCCGGGGATTCGGTTTTACTCAAGTGCGGAGCCATTGACTGAACAGACGCCATTGCTTACCCACCACCCCGGGGAGGGGAGTCCCACCATTCCGTGAGCAAACTTACTAAACCCTACACGCTGCATGGCCCGAGACACAGGACTTCCTTCTGGAGGAAAAGTGGGAAACTTGGCCTCCCTGGTTGAGGAATTCCAGCAAAGAACGGGTTACACAAGGACCATGGTTTCAGGCCTAGTAGCAATGTATTTCCAAAGGAGGGTGCAGGCTGCAACGCTGAATGCCTGGTTAGAGCTTTAGCGACAACTCCAGGCCTCCCTTGGGGGGAAGCCAGCTTTCCACTAAAAGCACAGCCACGCATTAGGCTGGGGTTCCTATATAGGAAAAACTGAATGCAGGCAAGCGGCCTCTGGGACAAGGAGTACGGCAACCACAGCGCCTATCCCACCTGGAAGTAGTTGTTTGGGGAACAGATTCCGGTTTTGCTTACAGATCTCCCACTGAAACTCTAGGCGGCTCTGAAAAGAGCCTTTGGGTTTTGGTGCAAGTGGATAGGATGGAGCTCACGCCCGCTCCCCGCGGATGCGGCGCGCGAGCTGGATGTCCTTGGGCATGATGGTGACGCGCTTGGCGTGGATGGCGCACAGGTTGGTGTCCTCGAACAGCCCCACCAGGTAGGCCTCGCACGCCTCCTGCAGCGCCATGACGGCCGAGCTCTGGAAGCGCAGGTCGGTCTTGAAGTCCTGCGCGATCTCGCGCACCAGGCGCTGGAAGGGCAGCTTGCGGATCAGCAGCTCCGTGGACTTCTGGTAGCGGCGGATCTCGCGCAGGGCCACGGTGCCGGGCCGGTAGCGGTGCGGCTTCTTCACGCCGCCCGTGGCCGGCGCGCTCTTGCGGGCGGCCTTGGTGGCCAGCTGCTTCCGAGGCGCCTTCCCGCCCGTGGATTTGCGCGCCGTCTGCTTGGTCCGAGCCATTAGAGCAGATCAACACAGGTCGCTACTGAAGCCTCGGTTGGCCTCGCTCCTATTTATAACCTCAAACGCCTCCTGATTGGTCCGAATATTCAAATTCCGCGCCGCGAATTAAGCAATGTAACGGGCCGTCTGATTGGCTATCGGGTCTATTAAAAATGGAAAGTTGCTCAGTTATCTTTTGACTTAGTTCTCCGCCCTGGACCTGCCCTGTATTTAGGTATTGATCGCTCTCCTTAATCGGCTTTGTTGAATCTCCGGCAGTTTTTAATCTCCTTGTTCTGATTTACACTTGGGAGGAGGTGAAAGTGAAAGTTCCAGGGGTTCGCCACCTTCTCAAAAACTCGGCGTTTGAATTTGCGCAGTTTCGTCCTTTATTAAAGCTTCTAACATGAAAAGTATTAGATTTCTGCAGCACAAGCGCCCTCTTTCATCATTTCTAACCTTCACACAAACACTGGTATTTCTCCCATATGCGCCGTCCCCAAGAAACAGAAAAATCCCACCGCTGCGAAGGTGAGAGAGGTCTTTGAAACTTGAAAAAGCTTTAGTGTCGCCGGCTTTGACCAGACCGAACGGGGAATGTCAGCAGCATAATTTGGAACAAATTTAATATGCAGCTAACATCTAGATGCTCTTTTCTAGCGTTAGCAACCCGGTCTCTAATTTGGCTGGAAACGATAGTCAGGAATTTATATTACGCTTTGTCTGTTTAGATATGGATCGAGGCAGAGACAAGATTCATAAGTAGATACGATTGATAAGACACTTATGTAATTGTTTGCAGTGTTATGAATAAGAAAACTTTTCTAAGGGAGGAGGAAAAAAAACACCCAGGGCGGCTTCCTCATTAACAGGCAGTCAGTAAGATTTGAAATCCCCTTGATTGCGTTGAAGGTTTCTATTGGATGATTTCAGCCAATCAGAGATTGACATGGATTAAGCCCTTATTTGCATATAGGCCATACAAATATAGGCCGGCCTTGAGAGCAGCACCCATTCTGCTGGTTTTCTGTCTGAGAGCTGAGCACCATGCCCGAGCCCGCCAAGTCGGCGCCCGCCCCGAAGAAGGGCTCCAAGAAGGCGGTGACCAAGGCGCAGAAGAAGGACGGCAAGAAGCGCAAGCGCAGCCGCAAGGAGAGCTACTCGGTGTACGTGTACAAGGTGCTCAAGCAGGTGCACCCCGACACCGGCATCTCGTCCAAGGCCATGGGCATCATGAACTCGTTCGTCAACGACATCTTCGAGCGCATCGCGGGCGAGGCGTCGCGCCTGGCGCATTACAACAAGCGCTCGACCATCACGTCCCGCGAGATCCAGACGGCCGTGCGCCTGCTGCTGCCCGGCGAGCTGGCCAAGCACGCCGTGTCCGAGGGCACCAAGGCCGTCACCAAGTACACCAGCTCCAAGTAGACGCGCGCGCACGCGGCCTCACTCCTGACCCAAAGGCTCTTTTCAGAGCCACCCACACCTTCGCATAAAGAGCTCTAGTGCGGGCCACTTTTCTCATCTCTAAGGAAACTCCTTGCAGGTATGTTGGGGCAAATTGGATATATAGAGGTCGTGTGCTTTCTAAGTTATTGTTCGGGCTGGTGTGATTAGGTCTGGTTTCTGGCATGTAAGGAATTGGGCCAAGGCTATGGAACTAAAAGAGGGTCCTTGGAGAGTACCTCAAACCTCTAGCCGTGTGGTAGGCAATTTAGACTTGGAAGATTAAATAGGTATTAAAGGAGGAAGGAGATGAGAAGGAAACCTGAGACAGGCCAAAAACAAGGCCTGTTTGTTGTGGGTAATGTCTTTGGCTTTTGCAGTCTTCCCTTAACAAGCTGAGAATCAACAATGCTGTTTCAGCTGCGGAATTTTAATATGGCCTCCATTAACAAGTGCACAGATACCTGAAACGTTGGGCTAGGAGCCCCCCCCCCCCCCCCCCCCCCCCCCCCCCCGGCTCTCCTGTGGGATCACGGGGCTGAGGTGGGCTTGGTGCAGATTCTTCCCTAATTGGGGTGCTGAGTGGACAAACTAGGAAACTGTTCACTTCTTAAGAGCCCAAATGACAGGTATTAGGAAAAGAGCAGTGTCCTCATGGGCGTGCCACCTCGCTTGGACATTTAAGGTGATCAAACAAATTGGTAGTGTTGCCAAAAGCTGACATGACTTAACCTTACATTCCTAAGTTCCCTGGAGGCAGCTCTGGGAGATGGAGGAAGAGAAATGACAAAGGAAGACAGCAAGAGAGGGATTGATTAACTGAGGGTGTGGAGTGCACATTTCAATGTTTGGGCTGTAGTTAACAGGTTGAGTTTATTTGGTCCAACGTGTTTGCTCTGTGGGAGAGATGCAGGGCCAACTGCACAGCCTCCCGACGGCTGGGCCCCTTCCCTCGACTCTGGTTCTTAGGTCCACTGTCTCAGCAGAGAAGACAGTATCGGGGAGGGAGAAGGAAGGGGGAAGGGAGGGAGAAAGATGTGAGACTTGGCTGCCCATTTACAATGGATCTGAAATGTGTTAACTTGCCCAATCTCTTCCCCCCCTTGTTTGTAGCTATGCATTTTTTAATATATATTTTATTGATTTTTTACAGAGAGAAAGGGAGAGGGATAGAGAGAAACATCGATGAGAAAGAGAAACATCGATCAGCTGCCTCCTGCACACCCCCACTAGGGATGAGACCACAACCCAGGTACATGCCCTTGGCTGGAATCAAACCCTGGACCCTTCAGTCTGCAGGCCGATGCTCTATCCATCCCAGCCAAACCAGTTAGGGCTCTAGCTATGCATTTAAAATTAATTCAATGCAATTAAGTCATGAGACTCGGGGAACTTCTGTTGGTCTGTGACCCTTTCTGTTCCATCACCTTGGAAATGGCCAGCCTGGCAGTGGATTCTGAGGCCACCATTGCATTAAGGTGATTTCCCACCTGTCATTCTCGTCATTCTTCATGGCCCTGACCAAGATGTTGGCACCAGCTACAGCCCTCACATTCAGATTGTCTTGAAGGAAGAAAAAAGGAGAAGGGAATACCCCCACCATTTTTTTAAAAAACCCTGAGGGATGGTATAAGATACCATTGACCAAAAATAATGGCCGTACCTCACTGCAAAGGAAGGTTGGGGTGTTTAACAACTAAACAAGAAAGGAAAATAAATTTCAGGGGACAGGGCACAGGTCATGTCTAAAAGCAAGAGAGAACATTGGGGAGTTCTTATGTCTTCAGAAGGACATGTTTCCAGTACAACGGAAATGAATTGTAAATCCTGGCCAGAATTGTTTCCGTGGGAGAGAAAGTAAGATAATACAACTCTCATTAAAATTAAATGATCACTTTGCAGTAAATAGTGCTTGAGAGCGTACGCAGCTGTGTGCAGTCAGCACGAGGATGAAAGGTCAGACTCAGTGCCTTCTGTGGACGAGGTCAGACTGAGTTTGGAGTCGCAGCAGTGATTGAAACACGCTACTGTTTTCATATACTTTCCAAGTATAACCATCTGCTACAGCAGCTGCAGTCCTATCTGCCTCAACCCTGCCTTTTTTTTTTTCTCAGCTCATTTAAGAAGATATACCAAGTTCTAATGAGCAGTCAGCATTGAGACCTCAGATCTATAATAAAATCAAACTGCCTTCGGTGCACATTGTTGTGGGTCAGTGCTTCAGAGAATAGCTAATTAATTCTATGCCGGGAATAGAATTAGCTATTCTCTATTCTATGCTGGGATTTGCAAATGCTTACTCCTGCTGAGGGTTCACAGAAGACTGACTTTCTTGATGAGACCAAAACCACCCATTTAAAGAGTAGGTTCCTAAAACGCATTCATGAGAATCACCCCAGGAGAACTGGGGACCGTGTTCATTGAGGGGCCTGGGTGGGTCTGAGACCACATTTCTAGCAAGATCCAAGCATTGCCCAACCTGCGACTTTCCCCTAGGGCCTAGACCAGCCGTGGGCAAACTACAGCCCGCGGGCCGGATCCGGCCCGTTCTGCCACCAATACGCTCATTAAAAATCCGTATTGTCAACTGTCATAAACAATAGCCTCATTATTCTGTGTGACAAGGACAAATAAAGGAAAAAATATTTCACAGGAAAGCCAAAGCTGCCTCACTTCTAACTGTACATTGACATGGGAATGACCTAAAAAAAGCTAAGGTCGCCCCAGCCGCTGCGGCTCAGGGGTAGAGCCTCCACCTGGGAACCAGGAGGTCACGGGTCAGTTCCTGGTTGGGGTACATTCCCAGGTTGTGGGCTTGGTCTCTGGGGTGGGGCGTGCAGGAGGCAGCCGGTCAATGATTCTCTGTCATCATTGATGTTTCTATCTCTCCCTCTCCCTGCCTTGCTGAAATCAATAAACAAATATATTTTTAAAAAGCAAAGATCAGCCCTCGCTGGTGTTGCTGAGTGTAAAGAGAGCATTGGTCTGCGGAAGGCCGGGTCCCAGGTTCAATTCATGTCAGGGACACATGCCCTGGTTTCAAGATTGATCCCCAATAGGGGGGCATGCAGGAGGCAGTTGATCAATGATTCTCATCATAGATGTTTCTATTTCTCTCTCTCTCCCTTCCTCTCTGAAATCAATAAAAATATTTTTTTAAAAAGTAAAGACCAAAGACGTTCGGGTGGCATGTTTCCCAGTGATCAATGACCAAACATGGGAACAAAGCTGTAGGAGGGGTCAACAGAAAATGCACCCCCGCATCCAACCTTTTGTGGGTAAAGAACCTCACCTTTCACAATGTGTGTCCATACCATCCGAATTTCACGTACTATTTCTGCCCCTTCCAGTCTTCAAACACAGGGAAACAGCTCAGCCCATTGCTAAGCACCCTTGGGACCCCTGAGACTCACCTTTACATCCTCCCCCGCTAGCCAGCAAGGCTCCTATCTGGGGACAACTTTGGCACGTGACCTGCTCACTTGTGGGGTACAAAGCAGCCCCAGAGAGGCCTAGGGGGGCATCTGAAACATCACAGGAAACTCTGAAACCAGCAGTCCCCCTTCCCCCCCGGGAGGCAAGCTGCGCAAGTGCATCCAGTCCCTTATGAAAACAGATCACCTCAATGTCCCAAACCAATTTCAAAAACCTCAGGACACATTAATAATGCAAATATATAGAAATTGTTTTAACTAAATTAAATAAATGGGTAGCTCTTAAGAGCCTGTGAGTCCGGTGAAGTCAGTTCCGGGGAAGCCAGGTTCTGTGGTGAAGCCTGGAGCCTGGAGCCGGGGCTCCACTTTAAGCGCAAAGCGTTTACTTAGCGGCTGAAGAGACCAGTGTTTCCCAGTCGCCTCCGGCGCGGAGCCCCCATGGCTAATGTGCGCGAAACCACAAATCCTGCATTGCCCGCGGGGCTTCGGGACGCGGCCTTTGTGGGAGGAAAGGGAGGACCTATTGTCTGCCTGTCCCTTTAAGATTATCACCTAATTAGTACTTCACCTGCGCAAGGTGTCGATTCTGCGCCTATAGACGCGTTCTGCATAATAACCTCACGCTTATTTACAACAAGCTGTGAGCTGCAGGAGGGGAACTAAGTTTACATCCCAGTCCTTGGCCCACAGCGCTTCTCATTGAGATTCTAGGCGGCTCTGAAAAGAGCCTTTGGGTTTCGGCGCAAGTGGGTGGGACGGAGCTCACGCCCGCTCCCCGCGGATGCGGCGCGCGAGCTGGATGTCCTTGGGCATGATGGTGACGCGCTTGGCGTGGATGGCGCACAGGTTGGTGTCCTCGAACAGCCCCACCAGGTAGGCCTCGCACGCCTCCTGCAGCGCCATGACGGCCGAGCTCTGGAAGCGCAGGTCGGTCTTGAAGTCCTGCGCGATCTCGCGCACCAGGCGCTGGAAGGGCAGCTTGCGGATCAGCAGCTCCGTGGACTTCTGGTAGCGGCGGATCTCGCGCAGGGCCACGGTGCCGGGCCGGTAGCGGTGCGGCTTCTTCACGCCGCCCGTGGCCGGCGCGCTCTTGCGGGCGGCCTTGGTGGCCAGCTGCTTGCGGGGCGCCTTCCCGCCCGTCGACTTGCGCGCCGTCTGCTTAGTGCGAGCCATTTGGAGGACAGTGAGGGGAACCAACTAAATTGAATAAAGGGGGATAGGGAGCGGAGGCAACCCTTATGTACCCTCAAAACCATGCTGATTGGTTGTGCGCTTTTTCAAAAGTCCCGCGCAAAGAAGCCATTGGCCGAAGTTAAACAAGTGAATTACTGGACGGCTGATGAATTGCTCCACTCTCTAATCTGTTTAACAAGTCTGTGATAAAAAAGAAAAAAAGGAAAAAAAGGAATTTTCTAAAGCTCTTTATTGTACCTCAAATTGTAAGTAAGGGGCCACTTGGGTATCCTGGGAAGGTGCCAATTCTGGCTCAGCGGACCTGTCTTGGGGCATAAGGATCTGAGGACCACGCGCTGAGAACAGACTCACTTGTATTTTGTGACGTTCTTTACCTTCCCGTTTACCTTTGGTTTCCCTCCTCCCTAGAGAAACTCAACACCGAGCCAAACTGTCCCCCTAATGTCTACTGAAACTCGAAAGCCTCTCCTTTACTGGCTCCCCCCAAACTCAAAGCCTTAATAACAGTCCCCTCTCCCAGGACCTCATTCAAGCGCAGGAATCACAAGTAGCAAAGACAGTTAACTCCCGATGAACGAGCTGCAGTGACTGTGGAGGAAGGTGATCATCCTGCACGGCTGGGAAGCAGCACCAAAGCTGGCTCTTTTTGAGAAAATGTGTGGCTCTGAAAAGAGCCTTTGGGTAAAATGAAAGGCAGTAGGTTGTACGCACTTGGTTTACTTGCCCTTGGCCTTGTGGTGGCTCTCGGTCTTCTTGGGCAGCAGCACGGCCTGGATGTTGGGCAGCACGCCGCCCTGCGCGATGGTCACCTTGCCCAGCAGCTTGTTGAGCTCCTCGTCGTTGCGGATGGCCAGCTGCAGGTGGCGCGGGATGATGCGCGTCTTCTTGTTGTCGCGCGCCGCGTTGCCCGCCAGCTCCAGGATCTCGGCCGTCAGGTACTCCAGCACCGCCGCCAGGTACACGGGCGCGCCCGCCCCGACGCGCTCGGCGTAGTTGCCCTTGCGGAGCAGCCGGTGCACGCGGCCCACGGGGAACTGCAGCCCGGCCCGCGAGGAGCGCGTCTTGGCCTTGGCGCGCGCCTTGCCGCCCTGCTTGCCACGTCCAGACATGATGCGCTTACAAACTTCCCAGGCAGTGTTGAGAGGATGGGGGCGGCCCTTTTTATAAACCTTTTCGGGCGCGAAACATATGTGTCATGGGTTAAGACTGCGGCTTCATCTTAACCAATCAAAATGCACATTTGGCATTCCTTCGTTCTGATTGGACAGTGCTCATTTTTTTTGACGTTGTTGTGAATAACCACCAATCAGACACAGGATTGTAATTTATCACTTTATTTGCATACGAGGCACTATATAAAAGGAACCCGTTGAGTCCTGGTCTTGCTATTTCCCTACTTCTCTTCTGAGTGCTTCAGGAGTTCTCTCGACCATGCCCGAGCCCGCCAAGTCGGCGCCCGCCCCGAAGAAGGGCTCCAAGAAGGCGGTGACCAAGGCGCAGAAGAAGGACGGCAAGAAGCGCAAGCGCAGCCGCAAGGAGAGCTACTCGGTGTACGTGTACAAGGTGCTCAAGCAGGTGCACCCCGACACCGGCATCTCGTCCAAGGCCATGGGCATCATGAACTCGTTCGTCAACGACATCTTCGAGCGCATCGCGGGCGAGGCGTCGCGCCTGGCGCATTACAACAAGCGCTCGACCATCACGTCCCGCGAGATCCAGACGGCCGTGCGCCTGCTGCTGCCCGGCGAGCTGGCCAAGCACGCCGTGTCCGAGGGCACCAAGGCCGTCACCAAGTACACCAGCTCCAAGTAGACGCGCGCGCACGCGGCCTCACTCCTGACCCAAAGGCTCTTTTCAGAGCCACCCACAATGTCTCAAAGACCTGTAGCTCCAAAAGCGGTGCAAATGTTTCAGGCAAGAAGCCTGCCCCTCCCCGCCTTGTTAGTAAAAGTTGTCTATGCAACTGGGATATTTGCTGCTGCGGTAGTTAGCAAAGAGAAGGTGGCCTAGTCTGATTTGCTCTCTTAATCTTTCATCGCCTGGTTAAGGCAGTAAGTACCTGTCCTCAGTTTCATATTTTTATCCAAACCCACAGAAAGAGCCCCTGGATTGTTTTGAGCAGCTAAATAGTACATTTTGGCAAGGTCCAGATTGTCTGACCACCCTGTAGAGTTTTAAATTCAGCTAATATCCGAGCGTATAGAGAACTGCAGGAGTCGCTGAGGGCGTGGAGAAAGTGTCCATTGTGTAAATTTCTCAGCTACCGGGAATTCCTCGGCAGGGAGGGCCTTGATTGTGCCTCCAGGGTCAGTTTCATTCAAACCCCAAGGGCTCCCAGAGTTCCCCTACCCTTGTCCAGAGCTTCTTTTTTCGTTAGCTTTTCATCTCCTAGGACTTTATTCTAAGATTTCACAGGATTTAACATTGGTGTGCTCCAGCATGTCGCTGATTTTATCCTACAATCGCCTCAGAAGGAATCTCCAATTTACAGGCAAAGGACTGAGACTTCAGGTTGAGTACTAGGCCCTTGCTCATCAGTCGAGTTGTCAGGACTTACCACAGTGTTTGTCAGGCTTTTTCTCAAGGAAGAGGCTGGTCATAGGAATGGGGAAACCGTCAAAGGCAAGTAGATGGTTAGAATGAGAGGAAAGTAGAAGTGGCCAGGAGACACACGTGTTGTGTTCTCTGAGGCCCAGCAAAATCCTTGCCAGCTAAAGTTTAAGATAGACATCAAGGTGGGAATGTAAGGATCGCCTGGCAGCCAATCAAACCTCAGAACTGCGGTGTGAAGGGGGAATCGTGGCCATTGGCAGAGTAACTCTGAGCTTAAAGAGCTCATTTTCTCCTTATGAGCAACATGGAGTTTCATGTCTTTTTTCTGCAAATGACTCGGTAACAGATCCCTATGAACGTGCAGGAATGACTCGGTTTCGTAATGGACTTTGTGAAGAAAACTCCTGGGGCCCACATATTGTGAAGGCATTTATTTCTTCCTCTCCAGAGCACGTTGAAAATACATTTTTGAAAAACAGTGTGTTCATAAAAAGAAACAAGAAGCCGAGTCCTTGCTTTATTCAAGGTAAGAGAACACACTCACATTGTGAAATGCGTTTGCTTTTCAGCTGGAGGCTGGAAACGTGCTTGTTGCCAAGCAACATGTTGATTGTGTGCCTCTTTCCAGGATAAACACTGTGCTCACAGAACACTTGCCTGTTGCGAGTGACCGCATCCCTTTCTTTAGTCTAAAGTAAAGCCAGGATAGCTTTTAATTTTTTTCAAAAACCCTATATAATAAAGAGGTGATATGCAAATTGACCCTCACGCCATCACAAGATGGTTGCACCCACAGCAGAAGCGGGCTTTCCATAAGGAGCTGAAACAAGAGATCAGCAGGGGCCTGAGGCTCCGTGGCGCTGGGGCCAGGGCGGGAGACCTCAGGCAGCATCCCCAGCCCAGGGGGATTGATGGGGACCTCAAGCCACACCCCCCACCAGGCCAGGGGACCTGAGGGTACGCTGGGGACCTAAGGCTGCATCCTCACCCAGCACTGGGCTGAGAGACCTGAGGCTGCACCCCCCACCTAGCGGGGCTTGACGAGGGTGGGCCAGTGGGCCTCCGTCTCACCCAATGGGGGTGGGGCTGGCTGGGGCTGGGTCTCACCCAATTTTGAGGTGCATGCAGGAGGGTGGGGACTTGACTCTGGGTCTCGTGGCATGGCCCAGACTCTGACAGGAGGAACATTTTCATGTACATTTTACTAATTTTCTTTCATCTCTGACACTTCTATTATAGAGCAAGGGCAAATAGCAATATTAAAATATTTCCTCTAATTAATTCCCTTTTAATGTGCACAAATTTCATGCACTGGGCCACTAGTAGTAAAAAGCAGAAGTATTCAAGAAGAAAAAGCATACGCTGAGGGGAAATGCCCCAGGCAGGACATAGCCCCATCTGCCTGTTTGAATGCTGAGTTTCAGCCAATTACTTAAACCCTCTGTGAGCATCACCTTACATCTAAAATGGGAATAAAATGAGTAACTACCACGTGGCTTTGCTGGGGTGATCAATAGAAGATCTCTGGTGAAGCTCTTGGGGCAGTGTCTTAGGACAGAGTCCTCCCAGATATTGGCTGTGGCTACAGCCTCTGGTCCCGCTGGATCTCAGAGTCCCGAGGCCTAGAACGGGGCAGGAGGCCAAAAAGCCTGCTAACATTTGACATCAATTGGGTTCCTTGTCTGGCAGTGTGAACAGCGCAAACCCTTCTGTAACCCGACAACCAAGGGGTCCGGGCTGCCCGTCACCACTTCAGCAGAAAGAGGGTCGGATGCTATCTGAGCGTTTATTCCAATCCTGCCGGCAGCAGGGAGAGCAGCAGGTCACCCACAAAAATCTGCTCTGCCCCCCACCATAAGCCAGCTGCTTATATTGGGTAGAAGGGCAAAGATTAGGTGGGGAAGTAGGCATTACAGGCATGTGGACGCGGGCATGGGATACTCATTACAGGCTACAAGTCATGAGGGCTGGGGGGGGGGGGGTCGCAGAGAGCGGGCGCCTGGGGGCACCCGGGACCAGAGAACAGGTGACAGGGGCTGGGCGCTGTAAGGAGCAGGTTCCTCCTGGATGAGACTGCTTTGGCCATCAGGTTGTCAATCTTTCCATAACAGACTTAGACAGAGATCTGTGTTCTCGAGGTCCATCTTCTCAAATCAGAAGCTAGGGAAGCCACGGGAAGAGGAAAGCCAGCTTTGGACACCGGGCTTTGAAGCAGAGTCCCACACTGGGTTCCAGGCCTGGGAACCCCCTGGAGTTGCATGTAAAACACGGGAGGTGCCTGGGTGCATCTGGGGGAGGACATGCATATCCATGGCTGGAGCCCCAGAGCGATCTTCCCAGGCTCTAACATCCACTCCTTCCTGGAGCGAGTTCCAATTTTATTGCCTCCTCCTTGCCGAGGGCATTTCCCCACATCTGTCAACCAGGATCACAGTTCTGCGAATTCCTCAGGGAGAAACTGTTAGAACAAGGGCCTCGGGTCTGGGCAGCTCTTACTACATGTCACTCTTGGTAAATATGAAAATATCCTACAATGTGGATGAGGTTGCCCACCACAAGGAAGAAACCAACATGTAGTTAACCTGGTTTAGAAACCAACATGCAACTGACAAAATCCTGTAATAAGCCCCGGCTAAGCCTCCCTCCCGCAGGCACGGCTTTGGAAATGATTGCCCTGCCCCCTGCACTTGTCGCAAGTAAAAAATAAAATGGGCCGGAACCGGTTTGGCTCAATGGATAGACCGTCGGCCTGCGGACTCAAGGGTCCCAGGTTCGAATCCGGTCAAGGGCATATACCTTGGTTTCGGGCACATCCCCAGTAGGGAGTGTGCAGGAGGCAGCTGATCCATGTTTCTCTCTCATCCATGTTCCTAACTCTCTATCCCTCTCCCTTCCTCTGTAAAAAACCAATAAAGTAGATTTTAAAAATAAGTAAATAAATAATAAAACCGTTTTCTTTCAACAAGACTTGTGTTTCTTCGGTTCTGTTACTCCGAACTGAGCCCCTGTGTTCAGTTAGAGGTTGGTCTGCAGGACCTGAGGGAACAGCTCGACTCGGGACCTTCTCCCCTTTGCTCCCTGGGTGCAGCCACAGCAACTCCTGGCCACCTCCCGGCTCTCCTTCCTGGTCTCCCTTCTACTTGGCACTTTCTCAATTTTCTTCCCCACTCATCGCCTTATCCGCAAAGCCTTCCATGGCCATGCCATTTAAAAATATCACCTAGCCAGAAAAAGTAAATAAGTCAATAAAATAGAGTAGAAAGATCGCCTATCCGTGTTTCAGTGGACTTCATAGCCCCGAGCACATCTGACACAGTTGTTCTTGTTTTGTTGTCCCCCCAATAAATAAGTAGAAGCCCCATGTCCACAGAAGTATTTCGCTCACCGTCAGTCACTGCTGTAACTCCCAGAGTGTGTGTGATTCCGTGTCCGGTTCATGCTACTCAATCTTTTTGTTTGTTAAAGTAACACCCTCCTCAAACCGGTGCCTCAGCTCCAATGACATCTGATATTTTTCCTGTTTAAGTACTGGAGTCCATATCTTTAAAATAGATGGGATTTAAAATTACATTGATGTTTCCTCATCTCAAAGTGATGGGGGGACTTGTAATATGATAGATGGAGCACCTGAATTAATCTGAAAGATAATCACATTATTTTGAAATTCTGAAATACATCTATATATAATAAATATAAAATGTATAAAAAGCCAGTGTCCGTGACGACCAGGGCGGCGGGTCACCATGAGGTGCACTGAGCACCTCCCGGTCCCGGCCCCGCGGCCCACAGGCTCCGATGGCAGCGGCGGGCGGGCCCCTAACATCCCCGATAAACTCAGCGCCTGACAATCAAACCCGAGCGTAAAACATAAGTTGGCTGATGAAAGCTTGAACTGAGCGTTTAACAGCAAAAGATGAAGCTCGCTTTTAAGGAAATGGGGGGCGGGCCTGAAACAAGCCTTCGGTGGAGGAAAGAGAAATTGCTGAAAATGGGCGACTTCGCCCCGAAACCAGAGAAGCCCTTGGAGTTCCAGCGCGCAGCCCGCGTCACGGGCGGGAACTGGAAGGAGAGAAGGTGGAGGAGAGAAGGTGGTGGGGGAGGAGGGAGGAGGAGGGGAGGAGGAGGGGTAGGAGGAAGGCGGGAAGGGAGGGACGGAGGCCGGAGCGGGAGGAGGAGGGAGGAGGGTGGCGGGAAAGGCAGAGCCTGGGGCCGCGGAGGGAGCCCCGCCTCCCCGGACGCACAGCGCGGCCTCCAGGCTGAGTTAGGCCCCGAGTTCGGGCGCCGACCGCTGAGCTAGTCAGTGGGACCCACACGCTGCTGGGCCTCGGGCTCAGGGAGGGCCCGGGACTGAGAGCGGCCCAGTTCAGACCCATTGGAACCGGAGCCGCCGGTGCTGGAGGGGGTGACGGCCAGTCAGCGCGATGCCCGGGAGGAAGCGGGGGCGGGGGGGCGGGGAGGTGGGAGCCCACAGTGCGCAGACCTGCCTGACGGCCCAGGCCCAACACGCGAGCAGTTTCACTGGTAATTTTTTAATCGATCTAAGTTCTTATGGGGAGGGTTGCAGCCTCTCGTCCTCGCAATTTGTACACTAATCTGAACGCTCGCCAGACAAGTCAAAACCAGCTCGGCGGGACTTCCGGGCGACACCAGTGCACGGTCCCAAGGGAACAAGGGAGCACAAGGTACCCGCCAGGGGAAGGCGGGGTGCCAAGGGCCTGTCCTCCACTGGGGTGCGGAATGGCGGGGACCGCTCCCGGGTACTCACGCTCGTCTCACACACACAACAAACCAGAAAGCCGCGCGCAGCTCTTCCGGGAGGGGGTGGGCGGCCCTGAAAAGGGCCTTTGGTTTTGCTGTCGAAGGCAGTGGTTTGGGGCCTCAGCCGCCGAAGCCGTAGAGGGTGCGGCCCTGGCGCTTGAGCGCGTAGACCACGTCCATGGCCGTGACCGTCTTGCGCTTGGCGTGCTCCGTGTAGGTGACGGCGTCGCGGATCACGTTCTCCAGGAAGACCTTGAGCACCCCGCGCGTCTCCTCGTAGATGAGCCCGGAGATGCGCTTGACGCCGCCGCGCCGCGCCAGGCGCCGGATGGCGGGCTTGGTGATGCCCTGGATGTTGTCGCGCAGCACCTTGCGGTGGCGCTTGGCGCCGCCCTTGCCCAGGCCCTTCCCGCCTTTGCCGCGACCGGACATGATGGCAGCGAACAGATAAGTACTGAACAGGCTGAGGAACAGAGGCAGCCCACTTATATACGCGGAGTGCGGACCTAATTGGAAACAGAAGGCGCGCAGAACTTCCGCCGGATATAGGCCCTCGCGGCCTCGCGCTGGGTGACGTCACCGTGAATGGAGTCCCGCCTCCCGCGGCAAGTCCTGGGTCCCCGGATGAGGATTTCTGGCATTAACTGCTGAAAACTAACGACACTGACCATTTTTTTGTGCACAAACACCGGAAACGGTAGAGAATTTTATAAGTTTATTGGAGCCAAAATGACGACACGCGAGGGGGCGAGATCTCAAATGCTCAGGAGGACAGCTTTGTAGCTTCTTTCACGCACTTGCCATGCGGGAGGATTCCACCAACGCGGGGAGAAACGAGGTGCAGGAGAGAACAGCACCCTGGAGGGCGGCTGCGCTGGAAAAGGAGGATCCCTTCTGGGGGCTCGGGGGTGTTAACAGATGCACCAGGACAATGGGCAGGGCTCGCTTAAGGCAAGATAACCTTTCATTGAATTGTAAGATTGGGGCTTGGCTCCCCACCAAGACCCACCTGTGGCCCGACCACCCTGGGGGGTTACTTTCGTTCATGAATTTATTAGAAACCCTCTTTCCTTCCCACATTTCACACGGGTTGGAGGTAGCCGCGCCTGTCCAGTGAGTTGGCGCCCAGGGCACACATATTGAGAGGCGTTCGCTGGACTCGCAGGCCGACAGGGCAGGGTCCAGGGGAAACACAGGCCGGAGGAACCAGACAGGGAAGTGTGAGCAGCCTGATCACAGGAACCAACAGGCAGAAATAATGGAATGTGTCTGGACTCAGGTGGGAGGCATATGAAAGGAGGGAGGGCCTGTGGCAACAGGTGACCTGACGTATAGGAGCAGGGAGTTCAGGTCCGTGCTGGGCAAGAACAATGAGGGAATCGATCCGGTGG